GTTTTTTCTACAATTATTTTGTAAACAAGACAATCTTCTACAAGTGTCACGATGAATATACCTTACCAGTAGTAAAAAATGATATGACTTCTTCTTGCTTTTTCCAGAGACAGAATAATAAATAAATAACGATAAATAACGAAACTAAGAGAAAGCATCTCAATGAATAGACCTATTTTTTATTTATAATTAAATAAAATCCATGATAGTTGAATATGACATGTATGAATGATTACAGACTAATGACATTTTCCTAGACAATTAAAACTATTTAACTGACATATTGGAGTGATAGTTACTTGACAAATTTAAGACAGTTTCATAAATATGTAAATACATGTATAGATAGACATATAAATATATATACAAATGGATGGATTGGTTAATATTTGTTTTCAAATAATATTTACTTCAATTTTCTATTTTAAATCATAAAATGAAATAACCAAACTAATTCAACAATAAAAAGAAACAAAAATAATTTTTCGTTTTGTTTTAAGTATTCTATAAATATGATTTTCTATGTTCATTGTTCACTATTCATTCATTAAAACAAGCATGATGTATAACTTATTGTAAACAAGAAAAAAAGAAACTTGATCATAGTAAATTTAAAAATTTCAATTTTTTCGGTTAATAATGTTTACAAATTGAGAATTCGTGAAATGATTTTGTGACGGAGAAAAAAATAGAAGAGTGAGAATGAACAAAAATTGGACATTTAAACACATGAATAGATCAATGTTAAAACACCATCAGAAACATGGAAACCTTTGGCGGTCGTTTTGTCCTTGTGTGCATCCACGACCTCACATGAAGGAATCAGACCCATCATATTCGGTCAAGTGCGAATGCCTATACTCTTGACCAATAATGCTGTATCCAGTATTGTTAATGACCAACTTGAACCAATCCATCATATTGCATGGCCTTCATTGATTGTGTTTGGTGTGCAACTGCCTCACACCCAACACAGTTAAATTCAAATGGTCATGGTTGAGCGCTTGTGCTGGAGATCAGAGGTTATGGGTTCGATTTCTGTGTATATTGTCATGGATGCACATTGTGAGTGCCATACTTGAACGAAACGGCAGCCAGGAGCTCAGACCTAGTAGCTGTGTTTTTGAAGCCCAAGTAGGTAGGCCAAGTCAAACTGGAAAACACTTAAATGGGTCTTATGAGAACTGTCGATTCCTAACTAGAAGAAACTTTAACATCGATAGGAAACTCTGTCTGACATGACGATTTTTAACATCAACACAATGACCGACAGCCTGCATTGTCAGGCAGGCTCTACAATAGACAAATTCTACATTTGAAGCACATGCTTAGTCTACGATCATGTTTTAATAAGAATGTGTACGTTTTATTGGGTGTAAACATGCCACAATAGACGGACTTCATAGACCTAAACTCAAAAATTCAAAAGTGAAGAACGCATCCTTGGGAGAACTAGCTAAAAACTTAATCGGTTAAGGAGTAAAAGTTCATTTCTAACGAGTATGGTATGATATCTGAACAATTGTAAATACAGAGTTGATATTTATTACTAACTTTAATCGAAAGGTTTAGAACAAATCAGTGGATTTTTTTGACATCTACTGAATTGATAGCTGCTCGAAAACACATTTTTATAGGCACATAGAATGAATGATAAAGAACGACGACAGCTCAACCATAGATTAACAGAAAGTTTATGAAAGGATCGTCAGAAAGGATGATCGACAGATGCAAGAGAGAGATTAAAAAATGTTACCCTTGTTTCTCTAAATAACCCGAATCTGAAATCAAAACAAGTCTCCAAATTTTTAATGGGTTTGAAAATCCATGCTCAAAATGAAGTAATGGAGAGTTGTAAAAACTGATAGGTTAACTTTAGGAGGTTTGCACGTATGATGGCCCATTTCTAATAGTTACCCGGGAACTTGGGAACAAGACGAAATCCCACTCAACTGGTTTCGAAAACTAGTCGTCCCAATTTATGAGAGAATAGAGATCCTATTAGTGAGGCCATGGAGTATTCGGTTTGATAAAAATTGTAACGAAAATTTTAGGTACAACAATCTTCCGTTTCCTATAACTTTATGAGGAATAGGAAACTATTTGAAACCTGAATAGTTTCAAATTCGGACGTAGATGTAGTGACCAAGTATTCCCACTTTGTTTGATTCTAGAAAATGATCATACTTAGTGATTCCCAATTAAAGTTGCATTTTTAACCTTCCGTTGTCCGACATGTCCTTTCGGATTTATCATTTAAAGTCATGCCACATGGGTACATAAACCTTGTGAAAACTCTCAACTTGAACACTATTGATGATACTTCATTTATCTTAAAGTCACATTAGTTGTAGTGAGTAATTTATAGTAAAATCTCTACTTAGATACAGAAAGACCCATTTGGTCTTTGCAAACTTATATCCTCTATGGCGTAGGCAAGAGGTTAGTCTTACAACCCAGAGAGTATACTAAACAATAGTTTACCGCATAATAATTTACGGCCGAGAAGAATGGCTTTTAAAAACAAAGGATGTTCATAGAGTGTTAGCGTTTGGTTAAGGATGCCTTTGAAGCTTGTTTAATACGAAACAAATAAGTGAGCAGTACTACGGTTAGGTATAAGGTACTAGGCAAAGATAGTAAATTCATTTATTTCATCATATATCTATATCAGCTGAAGGGGTTAGCACTTGTATTACATATGCCAACAATCACTTAACTTTATCGGTCAACCTTGTCTAGTGTAGGCATAGGCTGAGAGAAAACTAGAAACGATCCAGTCCATTCAAATGGAAAAGATTCAAATTGACTATTTGGAGTGTGGACGATAACTGTTATTAGTGGTTGGAAACATTGGGTTATATGGGCCATCAGTCAATTTCGATGGTACAGATCCATTTGCTCTTTGTTGAGATATAAACTTACAGTAATGTTTAACGCATAGTGTTTCAATGTTCACTACTTCTCAGAATAATCGCAATCATTATATTTTCTGTCTTCAATTCACCTTGTTCTTCTCACTTCGTAGTGCCAATGTATTGTGGCCAATTAGTCTTACCCACATATGTGCTCAGTTCTGGATTGATTATCCCTGCCTGACTGTTACGCTCGTCTCTAGGTATGGTTAAACTATTACTAGTTCACCTTAGTCGAATAACGAGAACAAAACAATGAACCAGCGTCCAGGTAGGTTATTGGGATCCCTTGACCAAATTGAATCAACAAGAAGTATGATATAGTGTAGAAATTGTATTCTACAAACACCCAGCCAACACACAATGAAATCAAGCACTCAAATTGCGTTGATTTATACTCTATAGAGACGTCCTTGGGCCAGTCACAAAATAGCACACTAAAATGACACAATGACCGATCACAGCCAAGGATTTTCCTGGTGAGGAATGTGATCTCAAGGTCAACTGATAGGTCCATAAAATAAATCCAAAGTAAAGATATTTATCAAGCGTGTTCTGGGGATCTAACATCCCCAACACTGACTTTCTTGAAACTATTTATCAAAAGAATGCTCAACATTGCCTCATAATTTACGATGAAGTACTGATGATATAATTAAATCATTTTCCCAGAAATTAGTAACGTATATAAATTACTTAATCTTAGATCTATAAGCATTTTTAAATTCAGTTCTAATTGCGTGTATGATAACCTGTATGACAGCAATTTAATGTCGATTAACATTTTCAACAGAACCTAACCATTTCTTTCATTTTTCGATATGATGATAACATGAATTATCTGATCACTTTATCACAATAAGCAGCTATGTTTTTAGATCAACTACTTTAAGATGTGATGTAAACCATGTTGACATGAATTGACAAATCATAAGTAAGAATCTTCAAAGCATCAATGATTTGTGACTCAAATTCATCATATCAAAGATGATTTTTTAGAAATAATTCAAAACAAAACGGAGTAAATCAGAATTTCATTGATTTATTTATTTTAGAAAACATATAAAATTTATTCTGTTCAGTGGGATTTATTTGATGTGTGTGTGTGTCTGAGTGTGCGCAGTAACCCATTACATCATAATAATAAACAATGATTTATATATTATATATCTACATTTGTGAATTTTCAAAAGGAAAACAATTTCCTCTTCACCATCATGAGGTTTCTTCATGATCATTTGTGAAATGATGTTGATGATGATCAGCATAAGTTGATGTGTTCATCATCTCAGTGAATACAAATTAAAAATATATCTAGAGTAAAAGTTTTCTTTTTTTTTCATAAAAAATATTCGTTTCACTTATGGTTTTTTCTTTTTGGTGTACCTGTTTTCAGTGGCAAAAAAAGTAGAAAAGTAGAAGAAAAAATAAGTTTAAATGGATAAGTTAAAGATACTTTTTCATTTAATTGATGATGAAATAAGGTAGAGAATAGTTTTAAGATCAAGGAATAGTGAGTAAGTGAGTGAGTAAGTGAGTGAGTGAGTGAGTGAATGAGTGGAGAACTATAGAGACAATAATACAACTCAAACATTGAAAATTCTCAAAGAATAACATTCTGTAAAATCGGACAGATAAAATAATGACCCAGTAAGACGTCGATACATCGGAACAGGAAAGAAGGTGCTGTTTACATATTTGGATGGGATAAAAGAAAAGAGAAAAAAACAACAATGATAAAAACATAAAACTATACGATTCAAATATGATATGAACTGAATGGAGTGTGTTTGCATTGTATTCCGTTGGCGATATAATGTCAGAGTGATGATGATCATCATGAAAAAAACAGGGGATTATTCTGTCAATGAATAAAATTTAACTTTGTTAGAAAATTATTCTGTGGGATTTTTTTTGGTACAGTTGAAATCTTTCATATGTATATGTATATATATGTATATATAGTAAAATTGAAAATAACAGCTGAGAAAGCAAATGATATATGTGTATGTACACCGGGGAAGGGCAACGGACAGGAGATAATTCTAATAAAAGTATCAAAAAAAATAGATTGTAAAAATTGAATTATTTCACTTGTAAACTGTCACATAGGCTATTTCTTCTCTCATGATTACTATTTGTAAAAATCGTAGTTGCAGTAGTCATATTCGTGGTGGTTGTCAGAGGAAAAGCAGGCGGAGGAGTGGTAGTACTACTACTACTACTACTACTAGTAGTAGTAGTCGTAGTAGTAGCAGTAGTACTGTTCGTGTTTACCTGAATAATTGAATTATTCATGATAGAGTGTGACGTTGCAGAATGATGAACAGAATCACGTATTGTCGAGGAAGTAGTTGAACATACTGATGATGACGATGACGACGAATAGTTGTCAATAAATTCATTCTTATGTTCATTCATTTCATTCAGTGCATTATTCGCTTCTTCAATCGGCAATTCATCTTCATTGTCTGAATTAGCAACATAGGAAAATGTACAATTTGAATTGTACGGTGAAATGATGCCATGATTAGTTTTGTCTTTCACCCTGTCACATAAAACAAAGCTATTAGTATCATTATTATTGGTGTTGTTTGATAAAGCAACATGATCAAAATTTTCACATTTCATTGGACAATGTACAATGGAACGTGTACTATCAATAGTATTTTGATCATTTGTATTGTTGTCTAATGAGTGATAAGTTACATTATTGAAATGATTAGGATTATTAAGCGTAGATGTTGTAGTTATTGTGTCATTATTATTTGACATGGACCATTCAAGATAATTTCTAACTGACAATCCATTATTATTATTATTATTATTATTATTATTATTACCGTTATTATTATTATTTAATGAAAGCCAATTTGAAAGTGAATTAACCGCCGAAAATTGTATTTCATTTGTCAATGTTTCTGATAATGATAAATCTGTTGAATTTTTATGATTCTCTTGTAAATTTTCTTTAAATTGATTTCCTTTCAATTCTATCATCAAATCATTAGTCATAATGGTTGGCATCATTTTACATGGTTGTAATAATGAATTCACACTGGAATTCATATCACAATTCGTAATCATAGTCGGTGTTGAAATGACTGGCATATTATTATTCATTGGTAAATTGGTATTAGTATTATCATTAGTTAGTGTCGATAAAATACCAGTAAAAGATGTTGTAGAATTATTGTTATTATTAGTTATAAATGAATTGTTTGCTGACAGGTTTGTTTTAAATAATATACTACTACCTTCCAAATCAGAATCAGTTGAATTCGATTGATGACTTGTTTCGGAATAACCTGAATGTTGTTGCTGTTGTTGTTGTAAATTATGCAATGACTGTGAATTAGTAGTAGTAGTAGTAGTAGTATTATTACTATGACCATTATTTGTATACAAAAGATTTGTATCAATAGCATATAAGTTATTGTATAATTTCGGTGATGAATTCATTTGTTGATGTTGAAAATGATGAGATGGTTGTACGTGCTGATGATGATGATGTTGTTGGTGATGTTGTTGTTGTTGTTGTTGTTGTTGACTATCAGAATGAAATTGTTGTGTAGTTGTCGGCGAAAAACAATCTAATCCTTGACCATATTGTTGATTCTGATAATAGGCATGTTTCATAAAGCCGAAATTTCTTTGAGTTTCCATTAAAAATTCATTGGCATGAAATAAATTCTGTGTATAGTCATTCAATGAATTCTGTCTTGATAAATGGTGTACATGATCAATTAGTTCTTCTTCTTCTGGTTGATGATGATGATGAGGATGAGGATGTAGATTAATCGATAGACTAGTACTAGTATTACTATTATTATTATTATTATTGTTGTTGCTATTAATCACGTGATTATGTAATTCATAGGACCGATTTAAATTCAATAAGTCAGATTTCATTTTTCTACTGTCTCTATTGGTTATTTCATGTTGTTGTGGACCAAGGTCTGTTGGAGAGGACGGGGTGATTTGTGATAAACTTGTTAAAGACTGACCAAAATGTAACGAGGAATAGGTACGTGAATTCGGTGAAAATTGGTCGATATTATAATTGGATGTTAAATATGATGGAGTACTCATAGATTTCTTATAATAATCATAATTATTAATATTATTATTATTATTACGATTAGCAACCATAGGAAATTCATTGTCTAAATGTTCCCACATAAATGTATCATTACGAAATTGTGAAAAATTGTCTGATTGTGGTGGAATAGTTTCTTGAAATTCATTATAATGTAAATGATTTCGTTGAGATTTACATGGTTTCTCTGTTGGACCACATACTACAGCTGCTAGCTGGGACATAAAATCTTTGGATGATGGTGAACGAATGTTGTTAATCTTACTATTATTACTACTACTACAACTACTACTGGTCATGTTAGTATTTGTAGTTGTATTGACATGTGTAAAACTCTCTGAATCATATTCATTTCTCGTGGAATAATGACGTTTTCTTGAAACTTTACGAAATGAATAATCTGATGTTTGTATTGAATCAGGTTGTGTTTTCTTTCGTAATTTACTCAATGTGTTATTGGTATTATTATTATTATTGTGAGTGATAGTAGGAGTAGTAGTAGTAGTACTGGTTGTTGTCGTCGTGGTAGAAGTAGTAGTAGTACAACTACTAGTATTAGTAGTACCAATCAATGTACTATTCGTATTCCGTAAACAATCAGTGCTATCTCGATTCAGCATAGAATAAAAATAATTTGTACTATGATTGGAATGATGTGATTCACATTTTAGAAATTCTGTCATATCCATACTATTACTATCACGGGTACATGAACGTGAATTATTTATACTCAGCGGATGATTATCATGATTTGTTTTAATCAGTGTATCACTGGAATTTGAATGTGTATCATAATCAATGGAGTTCAATGTATCATTTGGTGATAAATAATGTACACGTAAATGTTTACGCAATGAACTAGGATGCGTATAACTTTTATCACAACCTTTAAATCGACAAAAATATGGTTTATCATTCATATGTACATGCATATGCTTTTTTCTATCGGAACTATTAGCAAATCGACGATCACAGCCTTCAAATTCACAAACAAATGGTTTTTCACCTGAAATCAATCAATTCAGTAAATAAATATTATTTAGAAAATAACGAATACAACGATTTAGTTCATCTGAAAAATTAGTTTTAAATGGAAAATTTTAAACTAAGAAGAAAAATAGCAAACAATTAACACTGCAATTGATTATCATCAAATAATGATTTTCACATACTTGTTTGTCCTCTAATCGACAGACATTAAATAAATCCAGTCATATGTAAAGCCAATGATATCTTAAATAGATCAATGATAACGTATCTGTTGGAGATGTTAGATCCCCAGAACTCGCTTGATAAATGCCTTATCTTGGATTTCACGTTTGCGAGCATGGGCTGATCAGTTGACCTTGAGATCACATTTTCCACCAGGAAAAGCCTTGGCTGTGATTGGTTGCTGTGTATTTTAGTGTGCTATTTTTGTGACTGCCCCAAGGATGTTTCTATGATGTATAAATAAACGAGATTTGTATGCTTGAATTCATTGTGCTTGCTGGGTGTTTGTAGAATATACTTTCTACACCTATCAAGACTTCTCGTTTGCAGTTTTGGAATCAAGGTAGCCTACCTGGACTCTGATTCATTGTCTCATTCTCGTTTATCGACTTAGGTGATCACGTAATAGCTTCAAGTGTACCTAGTGACGAACTTAACAGTATCTTAATGTAACATCGATCGATGTCAGGTTAAATTCCTTTCAGATAGGACCAGTTCCTTAACGATTACCGATTACATTGTTGATAATAGCTAACCAAGGTAAAACTGAAATCTAGCGATTGCCTCCAAATATATTCAACTAATTAACATGTTTATTTGTAGTTTTTCAATTGCCAAAATAATTAATAATTTCATAATAAACAAAGTATCTAAACTTGATTACATTTTATTTTCTGGCAAACATTATTCTTGTTTAATTGTTGAGTGATTAGATTGCCATTTTGTATTTCATGTTAGCGCATTTATGTGGGACAACCTTTATAGTATCTAATTATGTGTTTTAAATAAATGAACTTTCATAGTTAAAATCATTAACTAAACACAGTTAGAGCAACATTAGAAGCCTGGGATCACTGAGTGGTCATTTCGTCCAAGTATGGGACCGCTTAACAAACGAAATCTTCGATATCCTACTTGATAATCTCAAATTAAACAGTCTTGACAAATCCTTACATACTAATAGTTTACGTAGGACTATCTAGTCTGAACATCCAATTCATGGAGTTCTAGTGACCTTAGGAGTTCAAGCATGTTGAGGATGAGACAGATATCCATAGTAGGCAATGGATAAAGGTTATGCAATATTGTGAAATTGATTTAAGTTAGACCTGTGTACCACTGGATTGTGATTCAGTTGTCTAGATGCTAAGTGTTGATGCATGAAACTGGAATTCCTAAGGTCGAGTCTTGTATGAGGACTCATGAATGGCAGCTTCTGAGGGGTTTTGTACTAGAAAGAGACAATCGTCCAGTGCTTCCAGGTTTTCCCTAGCAGTTTAACTGGGATTAGTTTGTGATTGAAATTATGATAATCACATACATTTGCCTGTACTATTAATTAATTAATATCTATCAACTTATATCAGATAATTTAATAAAGAGTTGAAAATAATTTTCAAGTATTCATCTCATTTCTACTACTTTTTTCTCACAATAAATTTAATCCTGTTAAATTAGAAAGAACTGTAAGCATTTTGTATTTCAGACATTCAACCATTCATTTAGATTCACAAATTTGTAATTAACTATAGAGAAATGTGAAGTACTACATGTAAATCCCTCCTATTCAACGTCAGAATTTATATCTGTGAGTTTGAAATGAAATAAGTTTATTAGGCTCATGGTTATCGAGACAGATTAAAACACGGGATAAAACATCACCGGTTATTATTCAGTTAGAGATTAATACAATTATTTGATTTCCATATTTAGTTTTTGTCTAATCGAACTTTAATTTTATGGGGTTATATTTACTGATTTACTTATTTTAACATAATTATTGGTACAAAAGAGCACCTAAGTACATGTGTGCCACAAAAATTACTGAGTGCAATAGGATGCTGCCTGGGTGCCTAAGCCGAAGCAAGTGGTTCCTTTGGGAAGGCACTTCCCGAGACTTTGACCTACAGGTCTAATCCATAAGATAATGGAACAACGTGAGAAGATGCAGTCTCATTGTGGTGCGAGTTACTTATAAGTAGTATATGACGTGAGTGTCAACGTACTGTCTGGCATCAGAAGATGGGGGAAGATCAAGAAAGGAAGAGTTAGAAAACAATGGAATTTGTATGAAACGCATGAATAGTGACAATGGATTGATGTTTTGCAACAGAAACAGTCCAGTTCGATATGATGAACTGATATTTTGCAAATTAACGATTTACGATATGGTTTTCCGATTTTACTGAGTAACTCTGTAATTTGAGATAATTACAATTCGGCTGCCCCACCTGTGTTCTCGTTCACTACGTCATGGTAGCCAGTGACCAGCGATAGGTTCATGCACCTTTTGCTCCTTCAAGGTCCCGAACTTTATGTGCCCCGCTGGTTTGGAATGAAGATTTTCCAACTTCCTTAGGTGGATCCGTATTATCTATAAATCTGATTTGAGCGCTGGACATTTACGTTCGAAGCAACAGTGAAATAAATATCAAGTACCTGATAGTTTTTTTCAAAAGTTCATTGTAGTGTGTCATCCAGTCAGTCATTCACCATCAAGATCATGATTATCTTTAATTTTAAATTAATTAATTTTTTCTAACTATATTGGGTTAATATAAACAATATAAACAATTTTAACTAGTATTATTAACTATGATTTCGTAATTTATTATTTAACACAGATTATAAATAACACTGTTTTATAAAATTAAAAAAAAACACACTTAACAACCACAACAAACTAGTATCCTTTTCTGGACAACAAATATTTAAACTGTTAAAATAGAAAAAATCAAATGAAAATGAAAAATGCCTAGATTCACTTTTTTCATTGAACTCATTTTCATATAAATCTTTTATCTTTTCTTTAAAAAAAAATAAAGTTTGATTTCCATAATCTGGAGAATGTTGGTCAACCACTGATATGCTTCATATGGGTGGTAACAGGCGTTAATAAAAATGATTGATCCATGTACTTTACATCATCAGTGTAGGTTGAAGCAACAACAAGTGATCACTACCGATTGCAAAATGATCCACAAACTGTTTTGTTTTTTCAATTAATTGAGATTACACAATAATTTTAAGAAGCACTCAAAATCAGCATCATCATAATGAGGACAATCATTGATGTCTTATTAATAAGACATCAATGATTGCACGGTTTTATCAATGGATGTATTATGTATTTTGTCCTCATAGATTTCATTTCAGTTACACTTTATTACTTTTTAGAAATGTATATGTTTTGGTTTTGTTTTAAACGATGAAATATTGTTTTGTTTTTTCTTAAAAATAAATAAAGTGTACGAAAAAGAAACTGAGTTTTACGGCAATTTTTTTTCATTTACTGATCAATTTGTTTTAAAATAAAAAAAAATTGAATTTATCATGAAATGAATTAACGGAAAAATTATTCAACAGCTGAAACTTTTAATCAAATAAAAATGTTTTATTAAAATTGGTAATTAGTACTGCGCTCATGATTGTTGAAAAATTAACTTTGGAAATCATTTGATTCATATGAAAATACTTATTATTTAGAATGATTGATTTGTGAATAAATTTCAGATTAGAAATTTATTTCAGTTTGAAAATTTTCATTCGAAAAAAATACTGTAAAACAGTAAATAATTGTCTTTAAGATTGTAAATGGAAGTACTAATTATCGTATGTCTCAGTAATGATAAGTTTTCTAAATGAACACACACTGGAAGTGTAGTTTTATCTTTGTCACTGATCATTAAGACCGAGTATGTAAGATAATGCAGTTCAAAAGAGATGAATTTATCGGTTATCAAATTCATACAAAAGTTGGCACTTTATAAAAGCAATAAACTATCATCAACACACTGGATATAATTCAGACTATTCTAATATTTGTAAATTATGAATCGATCAATGTTAGACCACCATTGGAATCCTGGAGTCACTAGACAGCCGTTTCGTTCTACTATAGGACTTATCAGTAGTGTGAGTTCACAACTATTGCTACTCTCATGAGTCGATCTCAGGACCTATGGTCTTGCGCGAATGCCTAACCTCTGGACCACTGGGCCGACATCCAACGGTGTTAATATTTAACTCTGACCGTGGGACCTCACCCATTAGTCTTCGTTAGTTACTGACTACACCCAACACGGTTGAGTCCCATTGGTCAAGACTTCTCTCTAGGACTCGGAGAAACTTCCCCAAGTCACTGAATGTAGAATAATTCCGTGTTTTTTGTACTGCATAATTTTATTTGAATCTGCGATTAAAAATACCGTTATGCTGTAAGTAATATTGACTGGTTGGGTCTAATGTTTTCTATCCATTTAATTAACAACCAGTGACTATTGTGTTAGCAAACCTTCAATACACTTGGTGTTATAGTTTTCCGTAAAAAACAAAATTATCATTCTGACAAATGAGAAAGTTCTCAAAGATTTCTTGCCAATTCATTTCATCCCATTGTCTGACTAATGTCAAGCTCATACTTGTATCACATCTTAAGCTTTTACAATATCCAACTTTTTTCTGAATTTCTATTTTCTTGCTTCAATCAAGCAAAAGAGGGATTATTGTATTATGTGAATCAACCAACAATGTTTCGAATCGCAGGATATGTATTGAACAGACTCTTAAACAAGTTTTAGACTGTACACCGCTGCTGAAACAGTCGTTGTGTGTTCCATGCAATTCAGTGATTTATCGACCTTTGCATATTCAAATAAGAAAAAGACAATCATCTATGTTTGATGGATTGAAGAATTATTTTAACAATGAATACTTTATGATTAGGATAGAAGAAGACTGGTGATTAAATCCTTGAAAAGAATACCACTCGTTTTAATCATATTAAGCATTGGA